CAGTTGAAATCTTCTAAATTTGCTCCATTCTGAGCTCCTTTCATCCGTATGCTTCCATGTAGGCGCTCAGGCGATTTCCGCCCCCCCCCCATCCTCCCCCTTATTGTTGCCCTTTTCTGTGTTGTTTTAACGTTATGTGAGTGAAAGCCACTAATTTTGTTTGTTTGTCTGTGATATTATTTTTGTTAGATGACCGGCTCAGCGCTTTCTTCTAACGTACACTATTCTGATAAAAGTGTTTAAGCCAGACTGATGGTATCCCACCAAATCTACTATGCGTCGTCATTCTGCGGCTGGCTGGGTTTTCGTTGCTCTTCCCTAGCAAGCATGGTATTCCATTTTTCACTTCCATACAACAAGACTAATAAAGCAGTGAATTGGAAAGTGTCACTTTCACGATCAATGTTATTGCTAATGTTAGGAAAAAATTTAGTAATTTGGTGAAAGTTATCATTTTGCTCTTTTCTTTCTGCTTAACTCTATGGTCAGCTCGTAATTTATCTGCATTAGTTGTCCCACCAAGTAGATATGGCCGCCCACGACCTTGAGGGGGCTGACTTTCGAATCATTTGCCAAGCTGCAGCAGTACATGGTTTTTATCCGTCGATGCGGAGTCTTATGTGCTTTACAGTGATAGCAAGCTTGTTTAGCAAGTTTTATAATGTTTATAGGTTTTCTGTGGTGGACACAATGTCATCTGCGAAAGTAAACATTTTGAGTGTTTCTTCGTAGAAACTAATTTTTTGTGCTACCCCTTTTTCCGTAAAACTTTCAGTTATACCAATAAAGGCTTGCGAGGAACAACACACTTCATATTCTTCTGTTCATCCTACTGCTTTAAAAAAAAGGAGTGATTTTCAGTGGTGTGAAGGCTCATCTTTGTATAGACAAATACACGTTAATGAGCCACGAGCTGACTTCGAAATTTCATCGATCATTGATATTTGCAAACAGATTGCTCAAGGAATGAATTATCTACATTCTCGTCACATCATTCACCGGTCAGTGCTTTTCCCATTTTTTATATGTTTTGTGTTGTGTGACAGCAGTACAAAACGCATATTGTCACGGAGTTGTCTGTGTGTGTGTGTGTGTGTTTTCGCAGCAACTTGTCCGCAACTTTCAACTCGGGAACCACAAAAGTTAGGCAGCTGAAAATTTAGGGGAACGTCCACCACCCATGCGCGACCTCGCAGATTTAAATTCAGCCTACCCGTACCCGCGGGTAACAAGTCCAGCCCCGTAGAACTTTGGGTGGGTGAAATTGTTATCATGATAACCACAGAGGTTAGAAGGCTAAAATTTCGCGAGCATGTCCCCTGCTGTAGTGCTACCCAAAAAATTAAAATTCAGCCTTCCACTACCAGCGGGTAACATATACGGCCCCATAAAAGTTTTGGCGGTCAAAATTATTATCTGGGAAACCACAGGAACTAGAAGGCTAAAATTTTGTGGACATGTCTCCTGCCTACATGCTACCTAGAAAATTTAGATTCAGCCTTCTCTTGTCCGTAGGTAACACGAACGGCCTTGTGGAAATTTTGGCGGGTTAATTATTACCTTGGGGACCACGGAATCTGGGGGGCTGAAATTTTACGGCATTGACCCCCTGCCCACGTACGATTTTGCAAATTCAAATGCAGCGTTTTCGCGCTCTCGGGTATCAGCTACGGCCACGTGAAAATTTTGGCGGGGAAATTATCGTCTCAGGAACCGTTAAAGCCAAGAAGCTGCAGTTTTGCGGTAGTGCCGGTGCGTGAGATTTCATGTGTCTGTGCGTGAAATTCTTAACTATTTTTCAACTTTTCAACTATTTTTGCACATACTAAAGTACCAAGCAGTGAAAATCACTAACAGGCAATCGTTTGGTGGACGAGTTGCACAAAACCCATTATCGCACCGACTAGTCTGGTGCGCATTACTATTTATTATCTTTATTTCTTGTGCTATTTTTTTTTTTCGTGCTTTAGCGTGTCGACTTTAATTTTGCTTAAAATTGTATTTTCTTCTTCTGTGTGAGCATTTTTCAGCGGGCATTATTATTGCGTGAATCACTATTGTTTTTCAGAGATTTAAAAACAAATAACATTTTCTTGACTGACGATGGCACAGTCAAAATTGGAGATTTTGGTTTAGCCACCGTCAAAACGCGTTGGAACGGGGGGCAGCAAAATCAGCAGCCAACTGGAAGCATTCTCTGGATGGTACTTTTTCAGATTCGTACTTTGTGCTTATCACGCCTGCCTCTATAATTATACTGTCTCTTCGACTGCTAAATCTACAGTTTTGT